CCAACACTCTCTGGGTGCGACCCTCCAGCCAGTTAGCGACCAATTTGACTGTGTGGGTGTCGACACCACAGTCCCCCAGTTTCTTAATGAGAACGGGATGAGAGACAGTGTTGAAGGCCTTCCGAAAGTCCAGAAAGACTATGTCCACTGCTACCCCTGCATCTAAGGATTTGGTGACCTCGTCGTAGAAGGCCACCAGGTTGGTCTGACAGGACCTGCCTCTAATGAACCCATGTTGGTTGCCCCTAAGCATAATCTCCCCCACTGGCCCCTCGTGGACATGCGCCAGGATAATTCTCTCAAAAAGCTTACCCAGGATCGAGGTAAGACTAACTGGCCTATAGTTCCCCGGGTCCTCCTTCCTCCCTTTTTTGAAGATGGGAACCACACTGGCCCTCTTCCAGTCCTTTGGCACCACACCAGAGCACCACGAGTGCTTGTAAACCATGCCAGGGGTCCAGCAATGACCTCAGTTAATTCCCTCAGCACTTTGGGGTGGAGATCATCCAGACCAGCTGATTTAAATACACCCAGTCCCTCCAGAAGTTCTCTGACTAGATCCTCACTGCCCCTTTGTGGTGTGCCTCCCCTGGGGCCTGAGGGGGTCCTGGTGGGTGGGCTGATCTGGTCCCAGCTCAGGAAAATGGAGGCAAAGAAATTGTTAAATAGGTTAGCTTTGTTGTCTGGTGTGACAACCAAATTTCCTAGCTGGTCTTGCAGGGGCCCCACGTTACCCGGTACCTTCTTTATGAATACATAAACTGAGTCAAGCTAGAGACTTACCTTGGTGAGCTTTCTTTCTTGACTATGTTAAGGTGGAAAAGAGAAGGGGCCAGACACACAGCTAGGTTCATAGGAGTCATCTGATTCTCTTCTACTGAGGTGACATCACTTAGGAAACAGAGCAGAGTCTGCAAAGCCTCCCTGTTTTCATCTGACATCAGCATGATGGCTGCCTGCACTGCATGAACCCGCTGCTCTTGGGGAACATCTGAGGAAATCAAGAATCATTCAGTGGCGTTAATCATAAGATCAAATAAGGGCACTGAGCTATAATGAAATGAACTCACACTGCAGTGTAGATTTTTTTTTTAGAAGGAGAAGGGTGAAGGGGATGAAACAACCTAATTTCTGCAGTGCCATTACGTTTTATTTGTTTATTATACATAGCCTATTTAACAGAATTTACTACCCTTCACTGTGCCTTGTTTGAGAGGTTGTTCTCTGAGCAGGAGACTGTATTTCATTTAGAGTTGATGGTGTGAGGACAGTACTTTGTGCCATAACCTTAAATGCAATTTTCTGTGAATTTTCTGTCCCTCAGGAGGGCAGTTCAGAAAGCATTAGGAAATCTTGGGAAATGCTTGCACTTATGTCCAGAACCAAAGAAGAGTTTAATGCAAGTGGAAATGGATATGCTTAAGCAGCATTTTGGACAGAATCATTTCTAAAGCTACCATGAGTTTCTTCAGTTTGGATTAAGAGAACTCTCTTGGGTATTAATATACTCCCTGTAACCCTGTGAAAGAACAGCAAAAGCAGCTTTACTGCAGGTGCAATAGAAAGCTTGGAAGTTAAGTTCTGGCTGTTAGAAGGCTCCTGAAAACACTATTTTAAAAGCTTTTGAACAAGAATGGCAAAGTGTCTCTAGTACACCCCTTGTTTTCCAGAGGCAACAGACACAGAGACCTTCAGAAAAATAAGAGTAGTCTTGGAGAAGCCCAAGTGCTGTAAACCCCCAGCCTTTCCCATACTCTCATGAGTCATGACTGTGTTCTGGTGCATAGTGAAAGGAACAGCACAGCTAACCTTTAGCTACCTTGGAGCTTTGGGTGAGTGTAGTGACATAAATCTTTGGTATGCCACACATAATACCTCCATATGCAAAATTCTGAATCATCATATACCCACTCCCTGCAATCACAGAAAATCAACTATTTGGGATACATCAGCAGATTCTTAACAGATACTCACTGCCCCATAAGTAGGCAGGAATGCCTCAAAGTCCTTGACAATAAGTTATAAGGAAAAAAAACCTTCCCAGGACACTTGAGGCACCTGTGATGCAGGTTGGTCTCCCCTGGCTAAAGCTTCTTAGCCTTACTTTGCAGTGGGATTTATTAATTCTCAAATGTTCTGCAGAGGGAGGACTACCTGCCATTTCCACAGACTGGGCATTTCCATAGCTTCAAGAAAGCAGGAAGAAGCCTCCTGTATAAAATGAATACATAAACTGAATACTGTAACAACTTGCTTTTTTAAAACTTTCATCTGTGTCCTGTATTAGAGCATTACAGGTTCATATCTGCTTACAGATGCATCTTTCTCAAAACAGAAACTCCTATCAACACACCAAGGGTATGTTTCCTTTGCTGTCTTATATGAGTTCCCACACTCCAGGATTAGATGCATGTTTTAGAGACTTATGTACTGAGATGTGACAGGTCACTTGCCTTCCCTCCTGTGTTAATACAGGCAAATTCCTTGTTTACAGCAAACAATGATTAAAACACATTTATCAGAGCCATTAAGAGCACATAATGTATGGCTCTAAAATCCTTTTGATTTGGCCTATTTGAGGTTGTGATTTTATTGGTGTAAATAATTCCTTGTGAAGTTTATAAGGCTCTGAAATGTGAGGTGGGCAGCACTTTAATCATAGCAACTCACTTCTACCAAGATGTCTAGAATGAACGAGTCAGAAATTTGGAGATCACAACAGAAAATAAAGCCTTTCATGTTATTTCTTTTCTTGATGTTCCTCTGCCTCCTGTCTTTCCTGCATGTTTTCTTTGGATTGTAAAACAGATTATGAAAGCTGCTGAAGGGATTTGGACACCTAGTTTTCATGAGTTTAGGTGCAGAAGTTACTTAGACAGCTTTCAAAATATCAACCCAAGCCCTTGAGGGCAGAGACTGCCTTTTCTGACCCCTTTGAAGTGAAAAGAAAGAATCAGGCTCACTATGGAAATTTCAGTACCATGCTGTTGTTGTTATTAATGATAGCCTTACTTACATTGATAGATGTGTAAGAAGGTTTCTCCTAGTTTACTGGTGAGAAGAGGTTCTGGCAAGTCTCTGAAGAACTGCTTTACCATATCTGCCACATCATAGGCTGACTGGTCTTCATACCTGACATTCTCGGGAGAGCTCTCGTTCATCTGACGCAGGGCCTGTATTCGGGATTTCACGCCTGATTTTCGAAACAGGCCCACCTAAAACAGGTATCACAGGTTGATTATACAGGTGATTTATTTTTAAAATACACTAAATATTTCTTACAGGAGGCTCTGGGTTTTCGTGAAGTTGCGTTAACTTGTTTTATGATAAGGGGTAGATGAGGGCGGAGGAAACATCAGCCTGCCGGACCAAACAGCACCCACAACTACAGCCCAGTCCAGACAAATGAGCGTAGCGAATAGACAGGTAAGAGATAGGGGCCAGTGTAATGCTGGGACTAGGGGGTCAGTACACACATCTACAGGAGGCCTAAAATGCCTCTACAGAAACGCTCGTA